GATCATTGAAATCGTATATTTCCTATTGTTCGTGACTGCATACAATGTGAGGAGGAAACGTGATCATCATCCTGGTGATGACCATCTTTCCTACGAGTCCATGAAGAGAATGATGGAAGAGCTGGAGCAGCAGCTTAATCTGCACATTGACGACGAGGACACGAACGCCATCACCACTACCACTACCACCCACGTTCCCAAAGTGACCACATTTCCGGAATACGACGCCGGCGACATCACCTTCCGTCTTTACCCATCTGGAATGGATTACGCTCTTGAGGTAGGTATGTCGATGTCATTGTATGTCAAGTACACGCGTATACTTGATGTTGTTCTTTTTCTACGGTAAGGGAAGATTACGGTAAGGAAATTCACGGTCTTGTATTTCCAGCAAGTAATGCTAGCGATCCGTCACGATGCTATTCGACATCGTCCTCACACAATAAGAACATCCTATCATGGCATGGATATTAACGTCGATTCGATTCAAATCGTCGACTTCTTAGTGCCCAAGCTCGAAGTCGAGGAGGTGAGCTCCTTTTTGATGTTTTTGAATTTTTCAGCAGCCACTAAAAATGAGCGATTCCCTGGTATCATTTTACCCAAAATAAGACAAAAATGAAGGGAGTATGCGTCAGACAGCTGAATTTCCGCTCCTCATTTCTGAGAGCAGTCTGGCTTTACCTCCACATAAAGACTCACTCGTTTGATAGGATTATAGGAAATACCCTCAAAAGGAATTCTTCAATTTTAGCGCCTCAGCGAGACGAAGTTCCGTTTCTTCACTCATGGTGGTGGAATGCGCTATCTCGGTCTCTATTCCACTGTCTACAAAACCACAAGGGAAGGTCAATTCGAAGCACTTCTCGACGATATTCGGATCCAACTCGACGTTGAATTTAGTGATGAGGATGAGCACATCACCGTAAGTCTTCAACGTATAGCCAAATTTTGACGGAGTCTGATAACATGGTTGAACGTTCTCTGAACGCTTCCTCACTGATATGAGGGCTAGTCGAAAGCAAAAGTACTTTTATCACAAAGCTGCTGATATGTGCATAGATGACGAAACGATGGGACGTAGAAGAGATCAACTTGATGAGCACCAAATTCAGGTAACTGAGAAGAAATGTAGCGCCAAAGTCGAGGAGGTACTGGTACAGCTGACCCCGTCAATGCCATCGCAAATCGTCAATCTTTTGAGGTTGGTTTTCGCTTTTTTCGTTTCAATCGGAATGGCCCGCAAACCCATGAAAAACTTCTCAGATACGGCTTCATATTTTGCTCAAATGGATGGGGAAGTAACCTAGTCTTAATTTTCGATGCGCATATCCCTTCCCAATGCAGAAACAAGACGCCATTCCTAAAAATTTCCTGCGAACCTGAGGAACAGTTTTGAAGAATTCTTTGTTCAGAGGAGCTCTCTGAATGCTCACTCACTCCACCGATGGATGAAGCGTGAGCTAGACGCTCTGCTTTACACTACTGAAGACTATTCCTACCCATATTTGTGCCTTGCCCATAATTGAGGAAGTAAACCGAGTGCATGGCGTATTTTGGTGGCGATGCCATTACAATTTCATATTTTGAACTCGCAGAGTCAAGGTCTTTTTCCTTCAACCGGATAGTAGTGAGCAATATAGGAGATTCTACATTGTTACCACATAAGACCTTTTGTAACAGCAGTTCTCAAAGAAGGAAATATTGGCAACCTCAATTTTATACCAGACCACCATATAAAGCTTACAACTTACCCGGTATATTTTTGTTCTTTTTCAGAGAAAGGATCCAGCATCGCTTTCAAGAGAAGGTGTGCCCAGCATTCATTCACTACGTCGGGAAAGTGGCCAACATAGTGAAATCCCTTGCCTCTATTGAAGACATCACAACACGAACGGTAAGTACAGTAGCGATATGGTCCATGGCAAGCCATTATGAGCAAAATTCAGGATGGGCCACTATCTCCATGTGTAATTGAACACGATCGAGTCGCTACTCGTCTTGATTCACGTGGAGCAAAACTTTCCTTCAAGCGAACCATCTCAAGGGAAAAACGATCCGCTTCCTCCAACAGCATAGCTGAGCCAGAAGTAAGAGATATTATTTGGTTTTCCAGTCGTTCTTCTAGCTCAATCTTGTTCTTTCAGATTTTCGTCAGTGAGATGGCATCAGTCTCCGTTACCGAGGACTACATCAACGAAATGCTGTACGACCTCACCGAGAGCGGAAACATCATTTTCCATTTGCACAGAATCCCAGCAATCCAAGAAGTTCTGCGAACGCGTTGCGATGACGGCCACTGCCTCGGCGTGTTCGCAGATCTCGACCGAGTCACAGATGGTTCAGGTTGGTTGTTGAGTATGAAGATATGATACTACCTATCACAGGAGCCCATTTCAGGACATCTTGACAGTCGTGTCACCTCTTCACCACGGGTAGAGATCCTCAACGACCAGGCCATGCTCCATCTTTCATTGGACACCGTATTATCTTACGAGAATCGCGCCGCCCATCATCGCATACCGTACCTTCGCTTCGGAACGGTAATATCAATGCGTATCACGGAGTTGAACGTAAGCGTCTCCGATGACGGATACTACAGATGGACGGCACGCTACGATATCGTTGAACTGAAGGTTGGTGACTACCGTAGTCTGTTGTGGATTTGTACAAGAACCATGCTCTTTGGGGTGAAAACATTTTCGGTGGGTTTCAATCTGCAGTCAGAAGACCGTTATCATGTGCGAGGGCCACGTGATGACTCTTTGTGTTTGTTTGAGAATGCTCTGACGTAACGATCACGTTGCACATTCCACAGCAGCTTAGGCCGAACGGCCACTACAGCATGATCTTTAAACAGTCGCAGGCCATTTACTGGTTGTTTGCAGACTCATGACGTCTACACCGACTTCGAGGAGCTCAAAAGGTATCGCCAAGCATCTAGAGGAACACCTCAACTTTCACCGCACTGAAATCGAGGTCAGTCATTCTCATTCCATAGATAATCACCTAATTTGAATCCATAAACCATTCCTAGTTCAAGTCGAACAGAAATGCTCACTGATCCTGATGCTTATTCAAGGCGTCAGTAATCTTATGTAATAGCTGTAATCTTTTTAAATCGATTGGAGAAACATGGCTCTACTATTTTAACATCGTTGGCTGCCAGTTTAATGGTAGCGTTGTAACTTGTGGACGAGAACAATTTCAGAGAGCCGGGTGTTTTGCGTGATGAACCGTTGGGTGCCATAAGGCCCGTGATGAACCACAGCGCTCAGCCAGGGTCCTTCGATCTGTTGCACATCGCAGTCCGTCACAGCGCATCGAGCTTGTATGCCATGAACCATCGTTCAAAATGCGGGGAAGGAAAGGGCGCCTCGGACCAAAACAAACACCCGGTGCAATCATTTGAGGGAACGCGCATAGGGTCAGTAGTTTGGTGCATACGCTGCTTCAGTAGAATTGGTCGTATGGTGCGATCTTCCGCTTTTGCCAGTTCTCGAGCCTCGAAAATCACGCGTCGCGTTGCTAGGCTAAAGCGAAGCTCTCTCACGATAGAACACATTGGAGCCTCTTGTTGTGTGCGCTCGATAAACGAGCGACTGAATGGTTGGGCTCTTCCCGGTGAGCCTCAGCTTTGTACCCACTCAAGGACTTCTTGCTGCATCAAATCCGTTCAAGCGATATGAACAAATGGAGAACCACTAGTCTCTCCTCCGAAGGCAGCTGATCGTAGCTTGAACTCGTTACCTGAACCCAGAGCTATCCCATGACCGAGTGAGGATCACAACATCACATCCATAAGATACCATTCTTTTCGGGGATACCGTACTGAAAAGCGATTTGAATCGCGCCGCCTCATCCTATACCTCCAGGAAACTCATCCAAACTCAGCGAAGTTCCAAGAAAAACCTCGAAATTCTAGTGTCGAAAAAAACAGTATGTTTTCTAAAGGCATAAGTGCTCTTTAGTGACAGTAACGTAACAGCACCTTTACATTTCGTGTACTCACCATTACCGTAATCATCGCCTCCGTTGAACTGCACTGATGAGACCATTTCAGAACCTGCTCACAACCCATTTGAATGGCGATTTACCACTACGATTGAACCCACATGTGCATCTCCAGCCAGACTCAGCCGTTTTTGGTCATCATCGAGTGGTCATCCCACTGAACTTCAAGCTCGACAAGAAGCTGCTGCCAGCTTTTCAATTCCTTCATACTTCATTTATTTAGTCAATTGTATTGTGTTAGTATGTGCCAGAATCCCTAGAATCAGTAGCTGTTCGAAAAATCTCTTCTAAACGAGCTTTACCCCCAAACGATAGGAATCTCATGAGCTGACTGGGCAATAGGTGTGATGGTCACTGGTCACGACGGTGATCCGTTTTGAGCAGGGCGTCGCTGAGCTGCTCAAAAACGTATCTAACTCCGCCTTCTACTCAGCAAAGCCTTTATCAAACGGTTTCCTTTGATCTCAACTACGATTTGTGTAAAAGTGGCTTATTTCGTCCGAATCACTTGATAATTACGAATAAAATGTTGCAAAAAGGTCAGAACTCCATGCTAACATGTGTGGCAATGATATGTAGGGATGAGTAAGTTGACGATTCTCCAAAAAGACAGAGAAGTGCTCCCTAATAAAAAAGATAAGATAATGTATAATCACGACCTCGCTGACGATCAAACTCCGCCATTTCGGGGCAGGGATCCTGCGTCGTCACCATACAAAAAAGTTACGAAAGGTCATAAAGCTGAATCATGGGTGCGCAAATCTGCTGATGGACAAGGACTCGCTCAGTCTAGCGCGGCTGCTACAAATGTGAAGATGAGTCATTAACTAGAAGCAGCTAGAAAAGCGAACTTTTTATCACACCAAGTATACAAAATTTTGCTAGCACTTTACTTCCTGAGTGTTGCTTCCGTTTCTGAATGATACCTTACCTCTAATACTGAAAACATTCACCGTCAATCAGTGGATCAGATTTGCAGACTACGTCACTTTGCCTGAAGACCCTCCTCGAAGTACTTTTCTTGAATTACTGAACATACATGAAAGAAAGGAAATAGAGTATTACTGAATCCAGGGATCGAAGCCATTTTTGCGATATCCTTCAAAGAGGTGTTGAGGTAGTTATTACATCCCTTAGCTACCAAATAAGATATAAAACTAGGGAAGATGTTTAATTTGCCATGAAATTTTGAATTAAAACCCAGATACATATTTCGATAGGGCTTCAAGCGCTGATTACATCATGGAACGTGAACTGCACAGTGAAACTACCAAGGAAGATGTTGAGCAGCCAAGTCTGGGCTGGAATTTAGCGTTTACATTATGAGATGCTAGCTCGTCGGAATTGAGTCGCCTTGACTAGTGGCAGTGCTCTTTGCCGGTAGGTCCATGAAGCTCGCTCCGCTTGAGTCTGTAAGTTTTTCTGCTCCCGGCTTACATCATTAGAGGGATATTTTGATAGAAGCAGAACAAATGACGCCAAACGGGGTCATCTTGTGGCAGAGATTTCCCAGTGATCGCAATATAATGAGAAATAACCAGAAGGTCGACAAAGAAAATAATTCCACCAGAAAGAACAGGATATCGCTGATAAAATATATCGAATAAATATCAACAACCCCAACTCATTCAAGCATCGACTTCCCTCGCACAGTGCTCTTACATCTGCCCCAAAGTCAAACGCAGAATGACGGTATTCAATAGGTTTCTCTATCGCTTTCTTCACTGTAGTGCACATTTTCACTTCGTGTTGTCAGGAGGCAGACTGAAAGAAAAACAGAAAAGCAGGTCCCTTTCAATATAATTTCTGTTGTTAATTTCAGGAGGTTCTAAACAGGTATGAGGTTAAGTTCAATCAAGTGCGCGATCATATCTACGTGATAAACTACGAGGTAGCGGTCAGATCAGGCAAGCAAAACGAAATATTCTAGAATTGGGATCTCTTTGACGCAATCACTTTAATAAAGTGAGGATGCGCCAGCAACTTGAATGCACCAGTGGAAGCGGTATCCAGGTGGCAAGCGACGCGATATGGTGTGACGGCGAAACATGCGCTAGTTACAACGCAGGTAGGCTTCTAAGCTAAAGTGACCGGCCTCCTCTGAAACAGCCATCCCCATGCGGTAGTTGCAGTTTTCAAAATCAACTTCACTAGGACCCGATTTTTGTGATGAAAGCGAATTCCGCATCAAGAGAATGTGTTGAGCTATCTTGTCGCTTTTCCATTTTTCTCGTTCTCACGCTCTCAAGGCCAGCGTCTACACCGTTGAAAGGAAGCGATTACGAAGGAAGCGAATAAAAAGGAGCCCATCTGGGAAGTATGTACGTGCGCTAAACGAAAGCAGTGGAATGGCTGCCACGCTCCCTAAGTGCTCCAGCGACTTGTCTACCTGATGACATGAACGAGCTGTGATGGCAGCACCAGCAGAACCGGAGCAACTCGACTGGAGCATGGATTGGTTGGTGCCACCAAATGCAGTACTCGCCCACGCGTCCGCCGTCTGCCCTTGAGCCAAGATCAATGGCAAAACAAAGGGGCCCTCTTAGCTTTTTCTTTACGGATTCTTCTGCTTTTTCCGCCATTGGCATCCCCTTGAGTACCCCCACGTCTCCTTTGAACTCCTCCAGAAACTATCGTAATCGCTGCTTTTAACTAGTCAAAAATCAATCATCGAGCGCTATTACCCCAATATCTCCTTCCCGGGGTGTGCCTCTAGGACCATGTTTAAAAAGAGAGAGTGATGTCAAAACTATTGTACTTCATAAATTCATTACTTTTCCTACAAACAACCTCATTCAAAATGCTTGAGATTCTAGCAAAAATCTAACAAATAACACTATCGAAACCTATAATCAAAAAAAACCCTACATACATATAGCGCTACTTTCCGTACCGATAATCTTCATTCTTTTCAACTTTATCCAGTGAAACCGGGAACGTTTTCCCTGCTCTTCAGTGCTTCCACAATTTCTTGAGCTTTGTCCACATATTTCTTCGCCTCGTCCACATTTTTTTCCACGCCGTCTCCTAGCTTATACATCCTGCAATCACTCACCCTTGTTCAAATTACATATAATCGGTTCTCAAATAAATAATGTGGTGAAACTCCAGTTCGGGGGGCCAAT